ACTAAATTTTGATCCCTGAAATCTTTCTAACACCAATGTTCACTTTGTCTGGTTTTGTTGCAGCATGCCCCATATGACATAAAAATTGCTTTACCTGATTTCATAATAAAAATTTTCTGCTAATCTACCAGCATGACACCTTCAGTAACATATCTTTTTACTTACTATATATGATGAATAATATAAATGATAAAGAATTAGTTAAGAGAAATGTAAAGAAATCATTGATGAATTAAATGAGTTTTGGTTTAAAAAGTATAAAGTTAAGCCTTCAGAAATATTAGCTAGATTTCAGTGATACAGATAAAATGGTTTACCTATGGAAACAAGATTTAAGTCCCCTCACCCCTACTCCTCCTAAAAATCTCAAGCCTTTCTCCCTCATTCTCATTCATGTACAAAAATATGTTTCTTATGTTTCAGGCAGCATTAACATCATGATCCCAGAGGGTCTGGCACATGTGTCTACATGTGAGAGTTTTGAAAATAATAAACAGAAGATTCTGGACTACATCAAGAAAGGACTCGAGAGAATTATCAACAACAATACAACTAAGGAGAGTATTCGGCAGAAGGCGAGTGATCTGTACAATAACTTTCAGGTGATGTATTATGTATGAGATAGCATCTGTTTAGGATAGGATTGTATGCATCATGAAATATCTATTAGTTATTTCTGTTGATACAAATCTGAAGAGGTAATGGAGATGTTGGACTGAGCCAGAGGTCTATTAGTCAACTGGAAGATCGACTATTAGTCTGTTCTTCTCTCTAGCCTCCTGTGGCACACTGGAGATCTATTAGTTGTCCTGTGTTGAACTATTAGTTCACCATGGCCTTGTGTACTTTTTAGGCAATGAATTTATGTATTATCGGGCGATTTTTATATTCCTTTCTTGTTAATTATATTGTTTCTTGTTTTATGATATCAGAAATGGAAATCCTCAGAAATCACAAAAGGCTACTTTCGAGGGATTGAGGCTCGTTATCAGGTCAAGCAGAAGTTGGAGCTGATTGAACATGAGAAGACTATTGAGTTGGTCGAGATAGAACATATTAAGGTACTGCTTTGTTTTTTATGTTGTTGTTTACAATGTCTATTCCAACTATTTTTGATATGCTATGCTATAGGTTTCCCAAACTTGAAATCACGTGAAATCGACAATGAAAGTTCATCAAGAAATTACTAAAGGTATTGTAACATTTAGTCAAAAACAGAATGATTATTCAGAATCTAGTAAATATCATATGCCAGAACAAAATATTACATCGGAGAATGAAGAAAAGCAGGACGAGGTAGGCCCCTATAAATGATTAATTATTATTACTATTATTTTTGAAATCATCAAGTGTGAAAACAATCTACAGGACGAAGAATCAACAACAATTGAAAGGAATGAGGAAGAAAATTCTATAGCTAGTGGTACGTTGCAAATGAATGTGTGCTACAGGTTCACTAAGTGGCTGACACAATTGTTTGAATTACAGATTCGGAGAATTATTTGAAAGAAGTGATAGAATCAATGGTTGGTAAATTAGAAAGAACTCCGTTGACAGTAGACGACATTGACATGGAGAAGATTTTCATAGATTACCATAATCAATGTAACAACATTTTTAAGTGAGTAGAATCGGCTCCTGTAATTGATATGGACTCGAAATAGTAATCCTACTCATTATTATTGGCTTTTATCAGTCTATGTCATAGCGACATTATGGATATGAGACCTACTTCACACTTCACAAATGAAATTGCAGAAGAATCTTGGAACAAATTTGTGCTAAATACATACCCCAAACATAATCTACCCAAGGATTGGGAAAGTTTTATACGAGACTTCTTCAAGGTATGTCATAAAATCTGGGAAAGATGAAATGTTTTTGGTTTGATTATCTTCGTTACTCATTTTTCTAACGATGACAAAAAAAGTCAAAGGATAGTCTAAAAGAATGGACAAAGGTTTGGCGTGAACTCTATAGTGAAGAAACCAACAAAAAAAACAAAGATCTCAAAGACCTGATAGATGCAATCTACAATATCCTTGGGACATAGTATGTTTTCCTTTATTTTATTACCCTTTATCTATTGCAAGTATAATGTTATAATATCATGACTTTGAATTCTTTTTAGTATCAAAGCTTTTGAAGCACCGCACAACATACTAAAGTCGGGTGACCTTCGAGAAAATCAGTACAATGCACAGTTTATAAGTCTGATATTAGAGAATACACTGAAGACTATATGTAACATCGACTGGAGAATGTAAGTTCCGATTATCCACCCTAGAAAAATGTTCGTTTGCAGTGGTTAACTTTGTGAAATTACACTGTTATAGTCTTGAAGTCCTGGTAGAAAGTAGCAAAGATCGTTGTAATGCAAACATAAATCCAACCGTTGATAAAGTTTTAGAAGCAAAGTGTGCAGATGGGCTTGCTCGTCTCTGGCGAAGCCATGAAGAAGTGTTCCTATATGAACAGACAGGACCTCCGGACTTTGATGATATTACTCAATTACACATTCACGATTATAAATTGGTCAGAACAATGCGAGATGTGTTAAACCAACGAATAATTCTTCGCTTTAAAGACGGAATATATGATCACAAAGACCTTGCAAGTTTCAGTGCTTTTGGCCATCGCACTGAAGTGTCTTTGTTTTGGTTAACAATACACCAGAAGTCATATTGTCTTCGTGAATATGGAACTTTCAAGATCCCTGCAATTTGGCAGGATATCCCCGTTCTTTGCGAAGCAATTATAACATGTCTTAAATTTTTTGTGAGTATAACAAAGTTTTGTCCATTTATTCACTGCTTTTTACTAACACTGGTTTATGCTCAGTCTTTCATGAAAGAAAATATTGAAAAGAGAAGTCCATACATTGAACAAAAACAAAAGTTGCTTACAAAGCGAAAAGTACATACAATAAAACAGAACCAATCGACACCGAATCAACCTAAAAAGCAAAAGATTTCAAAATGAATACATACATATTGATGTTGGAATTAGGTTAGAAAAAATGCTTTATATAATGGATTTAACTCAGCTTGCAAATTATTTTTATCTTTTAATACATAGTTGTAGCTTGCATGGCTTTGAAAAACAATAGATTTTCGCCTTATCTCCTTTATATACATATGCCTGTATGCGGTGTGGTACAGTGCGTGTAACTGTGCATCGGAAAAATATAAATTTTTGATGATGGCCTGTAGCTGAAAATTGGTTGTGAATGGTGCCAGATTAATCCTCACGATATTTGTGCATTATTATCATAGAATTGCTTTCTGATAATATTGAGTCTCACAAATGGACCATCCAAGCGATAAATCTGTTAATGACTGTGTGTGGATTATTTTAGCAGAGTCTATTCTTTCGTTATACTTGGATCGGCCAAAACAATAATGATACCTAATCCAATTATAACAAAATCTATAATAGTACAGATGGGCTTGGTCTATTGATATTTGCATGGATCACCAGGACATATATACAGAAGCTTATTTGCATCATAACAATTTACTTTTTTTTTAACTTTTATTTATGTATTGGAAAAAAATTTTTTTACACATAAGCCATTTCATTAGTGTGGATCAGTATTGGGAAAAATTTGTTTGGAGATTGATTTTCTGATGAGCTAAGGATTTAGGTTTTCGAAGGCGAAGTGACCAAGATAAAAAGTCCCGATACTAATTTAGATGTGAAACTTTATTAAAATATATAACATATATCCATTATAATTTTAATACAGAGCAATTATTCAGCACTAGCAAAGTAAGTTTCTCTGCCAGAATCAACACCGACATATTTAGTCGTAACTCTACTGTTTTTGTTCTGGTTTCTAATGATATTAATGACGTCCCGGATTTCCAATAATATTATCAAGATTGACTCTTTGGTTATCGATATTTAGATATAACCCCTTTATTGCATTAGTAATTTCACTATAATTATATGGAATTGTGGAAGTGAGGTTACTCTGTAGCTAAGAAAGTGGCTTTTGTATTACCGTATTCTCCCGAATATAAGCAACACTCGAATATAAGCAACAGTAAGAATTTGCAACAAAAAAACAGAAAAAATAGAAAAATAAATATAAGCAACACCTATATTT